AACCGTGAACTTATGGCCAAGTCACAACCCATTCTTCCAACTTTACCCGTTTCTGCACACGCCACCACCACCCGCCCCAACTACAACAACCAGCCCGTCCCCACCAACAACTTCCGCCACAACTTCAACCATAAGACCACCAACTCCAACTCCAGACGTTCCAACCAAACTGGATCTCGTGGCTACCAAGGAAAATGCCAATGGTGCCACACAACCGGGCATTCACTCCATTTATGCCCCATCTTCCAGGAGAAATACCCAGCCATTCGCCCACCGCCCCGCCCTACCTACAACCAATCGCAACCCCAAGCACATGTAGCCACCACATCAGCCTCCTCCCATCCCTCCCCTTGGCTCTTGGACACCGGCGCATCCCACCATGTTACTCATGACCTAGCAAACCTATCCTTCCATCATCCCTACGATGGCACTGAAGAGATTGTCATTGGAAACGGTACAGGAATTCCTATTACTCATATTGGTTCACTCTTTTTTTCTACTTCCTCTTCCAAATCTTTGTCCTTGTCTAATGTTTTATGTGCACCCACCATGACACGTAACATTATTTCTATTTCACAACTTTGCTCAGAAAATAATCTCATCATTGAATTCACTTCTAATTCCTTTGTTGTGAAGGATCGTCTCACGGGGGCACAACTCCTCCAGGGTCCAACTAGGCATGGCATTTATGAGTGGCCGTCTCCTGCACCTATTCTAGCTCTTTCCAGTGTCAAAGCATCGGCTATAGATTGGCATCATCGTCTTGGCCATCCCAATTTATCCATCTTCAAAAATTTAGTTTCAAATTTCCGACTTGATGTTTCTAGTGATTTCTCTTTTAATTGCAACTCATGCCAATGTAATAAGAGTCATAAGCTCCCATTTAGTCAATCAACGTTGATATCCACTGCTCCTCTTGAACTTATTTACACTGATTTATGGACTTCTCCATTATACTCTATTGATGGTTACAAATATTATGTTATTTTTGTTGACCACTACACAAAGTACATTTGGTTCTATCCTCTCAAAAACAAGTCTGATACAAAAGCAGTGTTTATTAGATTCAAAGCTTTAGTGGAAAAATATTTTGAGAAAAATATCAAAGTCCTATACTCTGACAATGGGGGGGAATATCAAGCCTTAGCAACTTTTCTAACCATTGATGGTGTTTCACATCTCACTTCTCCACCTCATACTCCTGAACATAATGGATATGCCGAACGAAGGCATCGCCACATCGTTGAAACGGGCTTATCTCTTCTTACCCACGCTCAACTACCTCTTGAGTTTTGGTCTCATGCCTTTGTCACAGCCGCATATCTTATCAATAGGCTTCCCACGCCAACTCTCTCAAACTCATCTCCCTATCATCGTCTCTTTGGTACTCCTCCTAACTACCTCAAGTTAAGGAGTTTCGGTTGTCTGTGTTATCCTTGGTTACGACCTTATGCCACACACAAATTAGATCCCAAGTCTATTCCTTGTATCTTCATTGGGTATTCTAAGAATCAAAGTGCTTATCATTGTCTAGATCCCATCACCCACAAAGTCTACACGTCTAGGCACCTTCGGTTTATAGAAACCGAATTTCCTTATGCTCGTCTTGGCACTCGCACTCATGCTACTCCCATACCCAATCCGGACCATTGGTGCCCCTTGTCGTTGCCCATAATTCAGCCAGTACCTGTCCATAATCCCCCGACCATTGACAATGGTCTAGTCGCTGTCCAACCCAACTTCCCGCAGCCACACCAGCATCCCTCCTCAGACCCCCCCGTGGCCCAACCTAGCCCAGCCACATCTTCTATGGAACAGCAGCCCACTGCCCAGCAGACTACACCCCAACCCAGCAGTCCATCTCCTACAGCCATTCTACTACCCCCTCTTCCACCTCCCGGCATCATCACCCGCTCCAGAAATAACATCCATAAGCCCAACCCCAAGTACACCCATCATACCACTCTACAACATAAACCAACCGAACCTACTACCGTCGCCCAAGCTCTTAAAGATCCTCTTTGGCAGCAAGCAATGATTGCTGAGATCACGGCATTACATAAGCTTGGTACTTGGGACTTGGTGTCCCCCGAAAATAGTCGTAATCTTGTCAAATGCAAATGGATATTTCGCATCAAATACAAACCTGATGGGAGTGTAGAACGTTATCGTGCTCGTCTTGTTGCAAAAGGATTCCAACAACGCCCCGGTATCGATTATACGGAAACCTTCAGTCCGGTTGTAAAACCGGCCCCCATCCGTACTCTTCTCAGCCTTGCGGTTACAAACAAATGGCATCTCCGGCAACTTGATATTAATAATGCATTTCTTCATGGCACACTTCATGAGGAGGTATATATGTCACAACCCCCCGGTTTTGTGGATGCTGCCTTTCCTACTCATGTTTGCAAATTGCGCAAGGCAATTTACGGGCTCAAACAGGCACCTCGAGCATGGTACACAGAGCTAGCCAATTTTCTCATTGGTTCGGGTTTCAAGCGATCGGTTGCTGATGCTTCATTATTTATCTTGCATCATTCCACGTCATCCATTTATCTCATTGTGTATGTGGATGACATTATAGTAACTGGTCCTAATACTACTAACCTAAATGCTTTCATTAAAAGATTGGCTAGCAGGTTCTCCTTGAAAGACCTTAGTACACTCTCTTATTTCTTGGGAGTAGAAGTCACGCCCACCTCTCATGGTCTCTTCCTCAGTCAAAAGAAGTATATTGTTGATCTACTTGAGCGCATGCATATGCTTAATGCTAAGCCGGTTCCAACTCCCATGGTGGTTAACAATGCTTTAACTCTCACTTCTGGTGAACTACTTGACACTCCTACAGATTATAGAGCAGCAGTTGGGGGTCTCCAATACCTAACGCTCACTCGGCCTGATGTCGCATTTGTGGTAAATAAGCTATCTCAGTTCATGCACAAGCCAAGAAGCGCTCATTGGGATGCTCTCAAACGGCTCCTTCGATACTTGTGTGGCACTCTCGACAAAGGCTTCACAATCTTCAGTCACTCGCCACTCAATCTTCATGCCTTCTCAGATGCCGATTGGGCCGGAAACAAGGATGACTACACTTCTACAATGGGTCAAATCGTCTTCCTTGGTCGCACCCCGATTACTTGGAGCTCTAAGAAGCAAAAGTCTCTAGCACAGTCTTCTACAGAAGCCGAGTACAAGGCTGTTGCCTCTACCACTGCTGAACTCATGTGGGTTCAAAATCTCCTTGGTGAACTTGGTATTCAGCTCACTAGTACTCCGGTCATTTATTGTGACAACTTAGGTGCCACGCATCTTAGTGCTAATCCGGTTTTTCATTCCCGCATGAAGCATCTCGCACTTGCCTATTATTTTATTCGAGAACAAGTTCAAAATGGTACCCTTCGTGTCACTCATGTCCCAACGGGCGACCAACTAGCAGATTTTCTTACGAAGCCGTTGGCTCGAGCTCGGTTTGAAATGTTGACATCCAAGATTGGCCTCTCCGATCAGACGTCCATCTTGCGGGGGCATGTTGAAGATAAAGCCAAGACTTAGTCTTACTATTATCTCGTAGTTTGTTGTAACAATATTCTAGCTGTCAATATCTTTAGTTAGGATATATATCTCTTTGTTATTCTACCTTATCTCTCGTATACAGTTAGACTAAGTTTGTTAGGTTAAGATTATCTTCTAGCTTTACATGTATTATATATACTTGTACCAATCATTAAATAAACTCAACCTTTCTTAAACATTCACACAAATGTGCTAAAAACACATCGAATTATGTTGAGATATTATAATATAATTTGAAGAAGATGTGAAAAGATAAAAGTCTCACTTTAACAATTCAAAAAATAGAAGTCTCACTTTAAAAAGAAAATTAATAATTTATATAAGGGAAAAAAAAAAGTGTGCAACAAGAATATACTTGTGTGTAGCAAATGTATGTGTTCTTAGTATACACTCCTGGATCGTGTAAGGATATGTGGGCGCTAACCGGAATTAAACACTATTATTAATAGATTAAAAAATAGTAATATGACCGGAATTAGCTTTGTATTGAGAAAAGAAAATTTTCAAGGAGATTAGATGTGTTAAACACTATTATTAAAAGATTTATTTTTTATTAATAGATGGTGTTTAACACTATAAGTGTTTTATAGTAACACGCTCCTAAGAAAATTAGTGAGAAAATATAATACTATATCATTGGCGCATCGTCTAATGGACACTTGACCGTGCAATGAGCAGCAATTTCCTCGAAATGGGAGTTAGTTCGTGAACCTCAAATTTCCTCGCATGTAGCAGGATTTGAAAAAAATAATAATGAAATTTGTGTTTGGGGTCTTTGCCAAATATAGAACACACGTCTTAACTAATGGGTAAGCAACGATAATTATCCTTGTAAAATTGTACAATTTCTTTTTTCAGGTAACTGAAATAATAATAATTTTTTAGAATAAAACAATTAATATTTTAGAGTTCGTAATTAGCCAAAAATTCGTCCTTTTTTTTTTTCTTCCAAACATCTGCAGTAAATACGTGCCAGTAGATAAAATCCTTTGTTACTTCTATAAGAAGGAAAATTTTCCAAGCAGAGATTGATACACCTTTTACCACTTAAACTACAACGAATAAGATAAACTATTGAGGAAAAACAAGAATCTTTTACGGTTATAGTTCGAGAGGGACATATATATGAATTATATATATAAATATATATATCTTTCATGACCATTTCTTTACCTGCAATATAACTAAAAAAACAGGCAAAGCATGCTGAGAGCATCCCCTTCACATTCATGTCACTCTCCTACAATAGTAATTAACCATATCTTCAAGACCCCACAATGACAGAATCAAAAAATCTCCTATCAGACAGTGATCAGAAACACGAAAAAAATGCACATGCAGGGATTTTCTTTTATTATTATTATCCTCAAGAGCGGGATCGGGGAGTTAAGATCAATACATTTGGAATAATATTATAGAAAATATTGTTTTTATTAATACCTTAGTCATTAATTTACATAAACTTGAGTTAATTGACATCATATTTTCCTATTCTATGAAAGAAATCCAAAGTTCCAAAATATTACACTAATGGACCAATTAGAAAAAGAAATTAATAGGTACTCAACTCAAGTGCCTCTCTAGCTCCATCATGATTATGTTTCCTCGGACTTATTTTTCTCCTTTGATCTCTTCCCCTAATTTCTTTAGTAATTATTGAGAATACTTTGATCCAGTCCGGCCTGTGGCCTAATCTCGACGAAACCAAGATCAGATAAACTTATGCAACAAGTTGGAGCAACGTGGTCATCACTATTAGCTTTCCCTTCAAACGACACTCCGTCGACAATGTCGTACGGCAATCCAAAGCCAAAGTCCAGCAAAGTTGACCCGTGGCCGGCATAATATTCGTCGCAGCCATTATGAGGCAGTACCGAAGCACGCTTATTGTCGCTTAGAGCCAGCAAATATGAATCCGAAATTGTGCCTGAACCTTCTTTGGACAACGAAACATTATCACTAGTAATGTGACTGTTCTTGGCTCTCACATGATCAAATTCATCAGCCGAAAAATCCATCATGAATCCCGGGTTACTATATAAAGGATTTTGATCATATTGTGAACGCAAATATCTCTGATCATAGACAGTTCCAGGATTATCGCTTAACATTCGTAATGTGGCGGAATTTTGAGTTTCGGAATTTGGAAACGAATGATCAAAGATTTCAACTTTTGGGACACATGAATTAGGAATTTGAAGTGAGGATACTGACATTGTTGAACCAGGGAGAGTAGTGGAATTGTTAGTAGTAGGGATTAATTGGCCATTAGTAGGACCGATTGTTGTCAGGCTTATTTTTCCGGCCAAAAGCTTCTTCTTTAACTTGGTGTTCCAATAGTTCTTCACGTCGTTGTCTGTTCTTCCGGGTAGTTGAGAAGCTATGACCGACCATCTAACCATATCATATAATATTATAGATGGGAATTAAAACATGTCAAGAAATTTATTAATCGTTTTTACTTTCTATAGCGTGTATTATATATATATATATATATAATATATTATATACACATATGTTCTTTATATTAATTATGATGATCAGGAAAACTTGCCTGCTTCCCATTTGGTTGTAGAGATTACAGATAATGTGGTCTTCCTCTTCGGTAAAGCCGCCATGTTTGATGTCTGGCCTGAGATAATTGAGCCATCTCAAACGGCAACTTTTCCCGCATCGCCTTAGGCCTATAACATGGAATATTAATTGGGTGACTTATAATTTATTATGGTGTAATTATGAGCATCAGGAGAAAATAGCATCAAAATGTTCGGGCAAAATAATTCTTCAAGGAAATTAAGACAAACATCAAAATTTATGGTGGGAAGCGGGGAATGAAATGTATGTAACAAAATAAATTAGAGAGTATTTTGCAACAGTCACTACACCGGAATTTTATTTCTTGTCGAGAAAGTTTGGATATATTAGACAATTTATATGAAATAAAAATCTGCTCTCGTCTTGCAATCTCCTTCTTGAGGTTGCATAAAACTGAATAATAAAATTAATGCGCACAAATTACTACCATTATGCTCTTATAAAGCAACTTTTGGAAGGGAGAACAATTTGATAAAGCATATACAATCGTAGACATGTTTAATTTATTATCACAAAATGAAAAGACAGGCAGCTTTCTAGTTTCTATATCAACAACAACGACAGCAGAGAGAGAAGAAAAAGAATAGTCTGAGGGCCCAGTATTTTTAAGGTTCACTTATGAAAAGTCTGGAAAACCCAGTTATCACTTGGCAGCTGGTACAAGGAGAGGAAGCATCAAGAGATTCAAGACAAAAACACACACACACACACACACACACATATATATATGTGTGTGTGTGTACTTAATATTCCCTCTATATATATATATATATATATAGTTAATTATTTAACGAAAAAGCAATTCCTAAAAGAATTTCCTCAGAAACTCTCCAGTAATTTTCCGCAAAACTACATGAAAAAAGAGAATTAGTCTCAAGGTCGATCGATGCATCTGCTTGGGTTTTAGAGGCCACTAATGAATACCAAACACAACAAACAACACAAAAAGAAACAGACACGCACAAACATATATATATATATATATATATATATAGAGAGAGAGAGAGAGAGAGAGGAGAGAGAGACCAGCTTTTCTAGGCAAAGCAATCCAATTGCCGCCAGTGCCATGAGCCTGAAGGTAGGTCTTGAGAGTAGCGTCTTCTTCAGGAGACCATGGCCCTCTCTTCACGTTTGCTTTGTCACAACATGGAGCTCTTCCCATGGCTATGTAGCTGCAACTGCTATACTATACTACCACCACTACTACTAAATAAACTAAATAAGTTTTGGGTAAGACACGGCTGATACAAAGAAGAGGAAAAATCAGACACGCAAATTAAATTAGTCTTCAAACCAAGCAGCTAGAGCCAGGCGGCCCTGCTGCCTCTGCTGGTAAAGGCTTTTTATAAAGTGGGAATATTGCCATGAATTAAAATGAGCTTGACTTTGTATGACCTTCTCATTTTTTATTTTATTTTATTTTTTTGCCTATTTAAATATATACTCGACATTTTTTTTTTATATTGTTCTTTCTTATCATCCTCGTTTCTTGTTTGCTAAGATAAAGGGACCCAGTCAACTTCAAAAATTGAATGTGTTGACTTTACTATTCGAAAGTTTTTTAAACTTAGGTCCGTTCATTTCACTGATTCGAGTTTAGAATTTGAGTTTTATTATAGTAAAAAGCTCTCACAAATAATCACATTTAATTTTTTTACTACAGTAAAAAACTCTCACATAAAATCACATTTCAACTCAAATTAAAAACTCAAATCAGCGAAATAAACAGACCCTTAGTTAATATATCTCAACACAAATAGCTTTAACCATATTGATTTAATAAAATCCCAAAGGAAACAACATATGTTGATAAGTTAACAGAGCAAAAAAGTTGACATATAGAAGCCAAAATTAAATAATGAGCTTTTACTCGGTTCTTGATCCAATTAGTTCGCCATAAGAAAATGATTATAATATAAAATTGATGCAACTGTTTTCTGCCTATCACGGGAACAGAGAAAAATGAAGGAGAGGCGAATAAAATTCTCATTCAATCTTGCTCGTCTCAATACACTGGTTTGACAACTATATAAATACTCAAGCTAACAAACTTACAGAAGAAGGCTACAATAATAATTAAAGCTAAACAAAGCTAATTGACAGTTATAACGGAAATAATAAATCCTCACTAACTCTAAAACTGCCATGCATATCGTAATATTGCCAAGCATTTACATATATCTATAAACAAAACCGGTGTATACGTTGATTATTAGTAAACGTAATTTGGTATACGAAATTGAATTTCGTAAAATACGTATACTTGTTAGGAATTTTCCAATTATATTATAGTTTTTATTTAGACATACGTAGTCAGGAAAAGAGGTGGATATGAACAGTTTATACGCTCAGTTCTCTCTTTAATTTCTTGTTAATTTGGAAGCGGGATATATAATATGAGAGCAGATTAAAACATACACGCATACACGTGTTATATTTAAGGCCCCGTTCATTTAGTTTATTTGAGTTTAAAACTTGTGTTAAAAAGTGAATTTATATGAAAAAAAAATAATGTAACAAAAAAATTTTTAATTTAATTTTTTATGAGAGAAAATACTATAATAAAAACATAAATTATAATTTGAATTAGCGTAATGAACGGCCTTATGCATATATCACTATAGCTATTAGCTATATACACATTGATTGTTTGATGAACATGTGATCTTTGCATGATCAAACTGCGTCCCATAAAATTTTCTGTCAACAAAGGACAGCCACACTAGCTAGTAAAATTACTAATTCCAAGATTTCATCCACCTCTAGCTAGTTTATCACCCTCTTTTTCTGTTTTCTATTTCTTTAATGAGTAAAAATGTCATGTAGGGCTTGTTTGGTTGTATTTTTGAGTTATGTTGATTTGAGTGTAGATTTTGAGTTAAATTTTAATTTTAATTTGAGTTGAAGTTGTAACTTGAGTTTGTGTTTGGATGTGCACATTTGAGTTATGATTTGAATTGAAAATCTATTTGAGTTTGTGTTTGAGTGGGTCAAAACTTGAATTTGTATTTATATAGTATTTTAATAAAAACTCAATGGTGATGAAAAATTTTAATAGGGTATATGCATAGCATTTTATTCGTCTCTTCATTGTGAACACATAGAAAAAAAAATCATCTCAATCGGAATTAAAACGAAAAAGTTATGATGTTTTTAAGAATAGAAAAAATATTGTTTATTAACTTGAGTTTGAATTTAAGAACTTGAGTTGAAGGGGAAACTTAAACTTAAGGGCAGCCCCATTTTTGAGTTAAAAACTCAAAAAAAGCAACTCGAGTTACAACTTTATTCGAGTTCATGTTCTTTTAAGTTTGAACTCGAGTTTAAGACTAAAGCTCGAGTTCAAGTTTCTCCTTTAACTCGAGTTCGGAAACTCGAACTCAAATTAATGAGCAGTTTTTTTTCTATTCTTAAAAATGCTATAACTTTTTCGTTTTAATTCTGATTGAGATGATTTTTTTTTCTATGCGTTGACAACGAAAAGACGAATAAAACCTCATCCATATACCCTATTAAAATTTTCCATCAGCATTGAGTTTTTATAAAAAAATTTCTAAATACAAATTCAAATTTTGACTCACTCAAACACAAACTTAAAAAGATTCTTATCTCAAACCATAAGTCAAATGTACACAACTAAACATAAACTTAAGTTACAACTTCAACTCAAGTTATAACTCAAACTCAACTCAAAATCAACATTCAAGTCATCTAACTCAAAAACCGCAAAAGAACAGCCTCAGATTTTAGCCCTAAATTCCGTTAAAACTCGAGTTAAAACTCAAGTTTAAATTCAAATTTTACAAACGAATATAAACTTAAAAAAAAAAAAAAAAAAAAAAAAAAAAAAAAAAAAAAAAAAAAACTGTAACTTAGAATTCAAATTTTTTTTTTAGTTGAAGCTCTAATCTTACGAGTTCACGTGTTTGTTTTGAGGAGATTACGTCACCTAGTGGGTCACCTACGCACATGGTAAGACACATAACGCCACATGATAATCTTGTCTTTTTCCAACCCACACAACCCCACCCAGTTTATATATATGTCGATCGTTATGACCTCAGTATATCAAGCTCTTGAGTAGCCTAAGTGACGAGTCCATAGATTTTAATTACTTTGAACTCTGAATTTGGTTGCGGTCTAACCTTAATGTTGTAAGTTGTTCTTTCACTGGGTTGCATTTGATCATGAGCTCATTATAATTACAGTTTGAAAGGTATTGGATAGTTCGACTCAGTAGAATTGAATGGTTTATTGCATTGATATGAATTATGAATTAGTGTGTCTGAATCACACGTTTGTGGTCCATCACATTTATGAGTTTTCCCTTAACTGATCTTCTTTTTCCTTCTTAACTTGGTAAAAAAAAAAAAACTCGAATAGTTCGTGATATACGGATGGAATTACAATATTGGAAAGTTCCAATGTGACCTTGGTTGTTATAATTTACTTGATTGGTTTATTTTATTTTATTTTGGAATGCTCTTTTACTACGGGATCTAAAACTTATACAGTTTGTAAAATATTATAACATTTTTGTCCTCACTTTATCTACTTATATACTAACCAAGTGTAGTACAAACTAAAGAAGTGAGTTATGGAAAATTTCCAAAAAGAAAAAAAAAAGGGTTATGGGAAAAGACTCCCTAATTTACTCCATTCTTTTTGACTTGTTATGGGGGAAAAATTTGACATCAATTAATTGGGCCTTTGTATGGACCACAATTTAATAATAGCTTCCTTCATAAATCACGCTAGGCTTTGAATTGGATGCTGGTAGTAATTTTCAAACTGGGTTTTCTAAAGTTTTGAACAATATTAACAGTTACTTCAAAGAGACTAAGATTATTATATTACTATCCATAGCAACGTAGGGGGCTGAACTTGGATGGAAATTGATTTAGTGTGGTATAAAGAAAGCATTAGTCACCCTAAAATGGTTGAATTCTGCTCATTAAGAAAATGAACTTCCATAAGTCTCTTTTTGACTTTTGTTGTCGTTTATTGTTTTTTTCTGCTTTCAGTCTAGATTCCACAGCTCGTACTTCTCAATTCCAATTTGTTTAAGTTAATCTCAAAAGGAAAAGAGAACTTTCACCGTATTTAAAATTGATCTCGTTTTTATTTTTTACGTTTTTTGAGAAAAAAATAAAAACGTTTCTAAAACGGCGTTTGGCGCAATAAAGATAAAAAATAAAAATAAAAACGATTTTTTAATTTGGTGTAAAATGAGAGAGTTTAGTCGTTTTTCATTTTTTGTTTTCATTTTCTCCTCTCTCGAGCAGAGAGAGAGAAAGAGATTCATTAATGGGTTTTTTTTACACAAAAAATAATCTCTTGATAAAACTATCAAACGCATTTTTAAAAATAATTTCTGCCTGAGATTGAAAACGTTTTTATTTTTATTTTCATACAAAAAATAAAATCATTTTAAAACGAGTTCTAAACGGTCATTTGTTTTTTATTTTCCCCTTTTGAAATTGCTCCAATTGGTACAATGAAAGAAGATTTCTCCATTGAAAAAAGTACTTTATCAAGGGTTTTTGTATCGATCAAAAGGAAAATTTTGAAGGTGGAATCAATTGTAACAAAGTTGAGAAAGACGAGACCTTTTTTTTTTCATGGAGACGGTGTAATAGTTTTAGGGATATAGAGGCAAATGGCCTTTTTTTTAAGAATTTTTTTTAAAAAGTAGCCGAAGTTTTATAAAATAAACAAAATGATTGTTTCTTCTATTAACTAGTGGTCAATTACTAGTTAATTTAGTTATCACTGACTCAAATTTATCATTGATTTAACTCTATAATTTTTCATTATTAATCAATTTTAATTAATAAATTACATATATATTAATAATAATCACTAATAATTTATAATAATGAACTTCACTGATTGATTAATGGAAGAAAAAAAATCATTTTACTAAAATAAAAAAGTCCAGCCATTTACTTAAAAATTAAAAAAATTCGGTCATTTATTAAAAAATGGTAAAAAAATAACTATTTACCTGACTTTCCTTAATTTTTATGGAAAAAGACAGTGTAATATAGACTTCAGTGACCCATTTTCCTATGAAGGCAAACCATGTGTAAATTAACTCGAGTATCATCATTGAAATTTAGCTGTTCATTTTTATTATTTCTCCTATAGATTAGACAAAATTTTTCAAAAATTTCATATTTAAATATCAATTTTTTATTAAAATTCAAATACCAACTTTTCGAAAGTGAAATTCTTCTGATTCACCCTGCAAGGCACAATTGAGTTTTTGGGTAATTAACGGGCCTCGTTCACTTCACTGATTCGAATTTAGAATTTGAGTTTTGTTACAGTAAAAA